GAACAAAATCAATTAAACTTTTCTAATAGGCACATTTTATAATCAAACCTGGTAGAGTATATTATCTTTTAGGGTAATTAGAAACATTTCTGTTTGACCAAAATAATAGCAGTCAACCAGAATTATTATCGATTTGATTTGAATGGTATAGGACACAAGCTTATAAATATTGTAGTGCACTGAAACGCAGATCACTTTTCTTTTTAAAAGAGTCCTTTTGCCTTTCATCTTTATGATTAACCTACAAGAGACATTTTGGTTTTGCTAATTAGAAGTTTAAATCTAATATTTTAGAATAATTTAGGATAACTTCAATGTTAGTTTCACTATTAAAGTGGCAAAAACCTAGACTCTACCATGAGTCTTTCATTTTCTGAATATAAGTTTTTAATGAATATAATCTAATTATGTGTCTTCCATTTTAAGGAAGCCAGTTTTATTCTGAACTTCTAAGGTACTCTGTTAACCTGTTTTTGGAGTACAGCCCTATTCGATTAAGTTTTTAGTACTTGTATTTGGCACAGTGTAATTTTGGGGAGCATTAAAAAACTGGCAGTTCAACCTTCTGAATGCAAAGAAAACAAAGACAAAACTCTTTTAACATTTCTTTTAATGACTATATATATTCTGATTTAAATCCATATGTTTTATTTTTCTGGTTGCTTTGTTTTCTAATGATCAATGAGCGCTTTTTAAAAACAATTTTTTTGCTGTCTTCCCTTCCCCTCCTACTGTGATGGAAGGCCTTTGATTAGGACAGTATTGTACTGTTCTCTGCTTCTCTCCCTAAGGACAATATGAGAGTGCTATCTCAGCACATGGTGCTGAATGGATGCTGGATAGAATGAACTAACAGGGACTGCCGCTTAATTTTGGGTATAGATTATTAGAACCTTAAAGGACCCTAGATATCATCTCGCTTGTCTACTCCTTCCCTTGGTGAAGTTCATAGGGACTAGAGCAGTGGGGCTTTAGAATGAGAGCGTTCCAGGGATAGGGCTGGGATTTTAGTGACCTTGTTCTGCACAATACGGATGATAATAGCTTATATTTATTCATTGTTTTAGATTATTTGTACATTGGATTTTGAAGGAGTCAAGAACTTCTAGTATGTGTTGATAAATACATTGTGTGTCATCCTGATGTATAAACTAATACGTAGTACTTCAGATGTCTCCCTCCTAACTGGGCCCGTAGTACTCGGGGTTTTGTATTTACAATGTTCAGTGAAACATGAATTGGTTGAATAGTTTCCCCCAACTTTGTATAGAAACATATCTTTAAAAATAATTTAAAGGATATTTTCCTTTTAATTTTTTCCCTTGAGAGTATAGATTTGAGTTCAAATCTGGATTCTGCCCCTTACTCTAATTAAACTAACCTGAGCCTTGATGTCTTCATCTATAAAATGATTATCATAATCATTAACTATTCATCAAGAGTTATTGTCAGGGTTAACGTTAACATGACATTGAATATAAAGTGCTCATCACAATGCCTGTCCAAGGGTAGAGTACTCGGTAAATGCTGTTAATGTGATCTTACAGAAACTAAGACTTAAAATACTAAAATATTTGTCTGGAGCTATTGTGGTAATTTAAAACTCTTTAAGGGAAAATTCTGGTTTGTTTGTTTGTTTTAACAGTCAGGGTCTTGCTATGTTGCCCAAGCTGGCCTCCAACTCCTGGGCTCAAGAGATCCTCCCGCCTCAACCTCCTGAGTAGCTGGGACTATAGCATGTGCCACTGTGCCCAGCATTGAGAGAGAACTCTTAGGAGAGAAATGGGCTCTATAAGTTATAAAACTTCACAATACAGTAAACACACTGAATCTTTGCAAAGACCTTTGCTCAAAGAACCTCAGTTTATTTTGTCATTGACCTGCAAATTTCAAGAATTTTTAAGATTCTCTTTACTGCATGAAATGCTTGAATGTGTTACTATACTTTTTGTAGGTGAGTTTATATTTATTTTTTGGAACTAAGGAAGATATTTGGCCTTATAAGAAAGCTAAGGTGATATAAGTGCTAGTTGGGAAAGGAAATAATGCAATATGAATGGCTTGCTTGATGTCAAACCTAGTAAGCAGTCAAATCTTGTCACTCTTCACTTAAAATACAATTATTTACTTCTATATTAGCTGAGAAGCAAGAATTTAGAATTCTGAGGAATTTTTTTTTTTTTGGGAATGGAAGTCAAGATATTTCAGCTGGATATTGCTTATTGTCTTTTATTAGAGCTTTGGCCTTGAAATATTATATTTTACTTGTATGAAATATATTTATCATCTTCATTATTTTATTAGATTGATAACAAAGCTGTGTGTATACTCCTTAATTGACCTAAATGTAAATTTGGCTGAGGTCGTGATTTGAGTGGCACATGGAGTTGAATAGAGAATCCTTGTCATCATTTTAATATGTAAAAATTAGGTGTTTTTATACCCCTGGAAGTTAAAAAATCAAATCAGGCACCATCTGTGGTTCCTGAATACTTGGTCTCTCACCTTCCGTAATTAAAAAACTATGCTGGCTGCTTGGCTGAACAGGGGTGTTATTAAACTGGCATTTGGTCTGAAATGTTCCTTAGGGAATCACTGAGTGATTTTAAGTGTTCTTTCTTGGGCCTGGGACACTACATCCTGTAGAATGAGTTAAGGAGTGACTGTTTAGCAAACATATATTGAGTATATATTATATACCAACAAATCAACTTGTTGGAGTAGGTTGTTAACTTGAGTTATGTTGGGCAGCCTTGGCAATGAGAGGGATTTTAGTTAGATCTGGTAACTAACCATGCAGTCCCAGAGACAAGTGTGACTTACTCTCTTATTTTATTTTTTTCACTAATAATAGAGCCAAGCCCGATGGTTCTTGGAGTGAGATTTAATTTGGTTGTTGAACTTGAGTCTTGCCGTGTGTCCTTTTTAGCATTGATTGGTGTGTTCAGCATGATTTAATATTCTTTTCAAGATTTGTACTTACCTCTCATGGGGTTACTATGCCAGTTCTTTTTGTGGCAAAGCAGGATGAAATTTCTTTATAATTTCTGAATGCTAGGTGATATTGTGGCCTAGAAAAGAAATTGCTAAACTTTTTTTTGAGACTCCAAGTGTTTTGATGCTTTGCAATTACCTGCTGGATTTTTTCTGAGATACCTGGGCTCAGTTCAGCAAATTGTATTGAGTACATATTATGTGCAAGCTCGGATAGAGTCCAGTAGGGGCCTGCTTGCTCGTAGACAAAAAATGATGGCATAATGTAACCAACATATGCAATGCAAGAGGCATGAACGAGGCATAGATACTTTATAGATTATTCACGGTGAGGCAAGGGAGTGGGTTTCATGGAGGAGATGAAACTTAGGATGGTTCAGATGGATACAGATGGGCTTTTTAAAAATTAGATTTTTATTGTTGGAGGCTATTCCAGGCAGAGGGAATGTTACTGAGGTGTGAAATGGCATGTAGCAGATAGCTTGGCATTGCTGGAATATACACTGCAGTACTGGAGGGAGATAAAGGTACAAAGGGATAAGGGAACTATATCTCCAAGAATCTGGCATGCTGTACTTTGGAGCATGGAATTTTTTTGGTATATATTAATCAGCTTAAAGTAATTGAAAAGACCTAAGCCAGGAGAGTGAAAGGATAGAGTTTAGTTAGCTCTCTCTGATTGTAACCTGGAGTTCGGATTGCAGAGGAGTAAAATTGGAACTAAATACTAACTAGTCATGAAGGTTAAAGGAGTCCAGGAGTCAGTTTTCTTTCTTTCTTTCTTTCTTTTTTTTTTTTTGAGACACAGTCTCGCTTTGTTGCCCAGGCTGGAGTGCTGTGGCGCGACCTCAGTTCACTGCAACCTCTTCCTCCTGCGTTCAAGCAATTCTCCTGCCTCAGCCTCCTGAGTAGCTGGGACCACAGGCATGCGCCACCATGCTGGACTAATTTTTATATTTTTAGTAGAGGTGAGGTTTCACTATGTTGGCCAGGCTGGTCTCGAACTCCTGACCTCAGGTGATCTGCCTGCCTTGGCCTCACAAAGTGCTGGGATTATAGGTGTGAGCCACCACACCTGGCCCAGGAGTGAGTTTTAATTTAGTAAACTTGTTTAGCTGAACTGTGGTGATGAGATAATGAACAAAAAAGCACGACGATGGTAGAACTCTGGGGAACATGCCAATAGCTGAAAGGTATTTTGAGGAAGCAGACACTGGGAAGAAATAGAAAAAGAAGTTTGTTAAAAATAAGGTATTATAGGAACTGAGAAAAGAAGGAATTTCCTGAAGGAGGAGGTGTCAGTAATGTCCAAGAGCAGAAGTCACATAAGATACTGACTGACTTTGGGAATTTGGAGGTCAGTTACTTGCAGTAGTTTGGGATAGGGGAACATTTCCATTGGAATGGTAATTTGCATTCTGCCTTTGCCTCTTATTTATTCTTTGACTTCGGAAAGCCCTTTTACCTTTGACTCATTGTCTGTAAAGAGGAGGTTGGCCTCTTTAATGGGGTTCGGTCTACGATCTGTGGAGCTCCAGAGGTTCATAAAAGGTAGCTTGAGACCCATCAAGAAATCAAGGGTAAAGCCAGATATTTGTTGGGGAGGGAGGGATAAAAGTCCTCTACCCCTGCTTCAAACAAAGCAGTTAGAGCAGCTTGATTTTTATCTGTTTCATATATTTGGCTTTAATGTAAGATTTCATTGAAAGAAACACAGTGCAGTATAAAAAAATCTGACAACTACTGGCATACAGGAGCATTAAGTACCTTCAAGCTTTAAAAGCTATATTACTATAGAGGTGTTGAAAGGTCCTATACTAGATTAAGATTATGATAGATGCTAACCTGTTCATGGTTTGGATTTTAATCAGAGGTGAACATTAATGACTGAGTTTATATAATGATAACTGTTCATGTTCTCATTAGGAATGAAAATGTAACTTCTAAACAACTGTATTCTACTGTGTACTTTGTTTAAAAAAAATTCTTTTTATGTGTCTTACCAGGTTCTGACTCAGAAGATCTTTTGGAAGAATTGCTGTGCTGTTTGATGCAGTTAATCACTGATATTCCACTCTTGTAAGTTCCGGCTAGGCCAGGATTTGTTTTATCTTCTTTGTATGTGGCAGATCATCATTGATCATGTTGCGGAGTTTGTGGGTCCTGGTGTAGTACTTATATGTGTGCCTTTTAAGGATTCTATATCCAGAGTTCTTTTCTTTCTGCCTAATATTTAGACTGGCTATTCATCGTCAAAACAAAAATGTTACGTCGTTAAGGGGGAAATAGTGAAACTATCTTAAGAATATGGTAGGCACGGAATTAATCTCTGTATTAAGAGAGCTTATAGATCTTTGGAAACAACATTTTAAGAGAGAAGCAATTTGAATCTACTTCATATTATGGTAGACACAGTGAGTTGAGTTCTCCTTATCTTCCTGACTTCTTGATTGTGTTTCCAGCCTCTTTTGGTGAAGCCAGATTTTCATTTCCAGCCTTCTTTGACGCTAGGCATAGTCAGTGAGATGTAGAGGAAGGTCCTCCAATGAGACCTCTGAGTAAAGCTCTCTAAAAGGAACTGCTTGAGTCAGCTAGGAGGCATATCTTTTTTCTCTTGACAGCCCTTTCTCCTGCTGTCTGGAATGTGGATAGTCTTTTGAGTTGCACAGCCTTCTTGGCACCATGAACCAAGAGACTCACAGAAAATTCTGTTTTGATGTCATTGAGCTGCTAAACCAAAGTCAACAACTACCAGCACCACCTTTTTTCATCCTGGACTTCTCATGTGACAGAAGTAGACCCTTATTAGTTAACACTGCTGTAACTGGGCCTCTGTCACTGCAGCTCAACGCAATTCCTATATGATTCAAAATGTTCATCTCGTTTGTTACTTTTTAAAATTTAAAATAGAGACAGGGCCTCACTGTGTTGGCCAGGATAGTGTCGAACTCCCAGCCTCAAGTGATCCTCTAACCTCAGCCTCCCAAAGTGCCTGGATTACAGGTATTAGCCACCGTGCCTGGCCTCATTTGTTACTTTTAAAGCAGTGATTCTCAACCTTTAAAAAAAATTATTGGCCAGGTGCAGTGTCTCACGCCTATAATCCCAGCACTTTGGGAGCCTGAGGCAAGTGTATTGCTTGGATGCAGGAGTTGGAGATCAGCCTGGGCAATATAGTGAGACCCTGTCTTTACTTTAAAAAAAAACAAAATTAGACCGGGCGCAGTGACTCACACCTGTAATCCCAGCACTTTGAGAGGCCGAGGTGGGCGGATCATGAGGTCAGGACTTCAAGACCAGCCTGGCCAACATGGTGAAACCCCGTCTCTACTAAAAATACAAAAATTAGCTGGTCATGGTGGTGCATGCCTGTAATCCCAGCTATAGGGAGGCTGATGCAGGAGAATCGCTTGAACCAAGGTTGGGGAGGTGGAGGTTGCGGTGAGTTGAGATTGCGCCACTGCACTCCTGCATGGGCTACAGAGCGAGACTATGTCACAAAAAAAATAAAAAATAAAAAATAAAAATAAAAAAAATTTTAAAAATATTTTCTACCTGAGAAGCCTTGTTTGACATTTCTTTCATAATTGCCTCTCCCACTTAATGAAATTTGAGTCCCCAGACACACTGAATATCTGTTTATGTCCTACAGCCCTTTAGAGGACCACAAACCATTATTATTGTATCTATGAAGATTTTTACTTACCTCTGTAGAAAGAGTTTACATCTCCTGTTGAAAATGCATATATAAAAGGAATTATTTTTGAAATAAAAAAGTAGATTTTACTGTTTCTCATGACAGAATCTCAGTCTACATGGGGATATAATTGGAAATGTGCTATTTATCTATGGCGCCAAAAGGAAAGACGGATATTTGTGAAAAAATAGGCTGCAAGCTGCTGTTGTACATGAATGCAACATCTAGAATTTTAATATAGTCTTCGAAGTGAGAACCACCAACCCCCGTCATGATATGGTCTCATGGTATGCACCTGGGAAATTAGGCTGAGACAACTGAAGAGTCATCGCCTAGGGAAGGAAATGGGACAATTTCCCATTCAACCGGAGCTCCTGCAGCAGACACATGCATGCCATCCTTTCTCCCATTCCATTCTAACAGAACTCCAGTATTGTTTAGAGTGGTGCTGTGTGCCCAGATTTGTTTTTCAGACACTTTGGTGGTTCCATGTGACCATGTGACATAGTTTGGGTCAAGTATATGTGAGCAGAAATCATGAACTTGCAGAGCATATCCACTCCAGCCTTTTGCTTGTTGCTCTCCCTTCCTTCCTGGAATGTGGAGGCAATGCTTAGGCTGTCTTGAAACTATGTTAATGAGCATTGCATGCAAAGAATAGTGTCCTGGGAGCGTGGGATATTGGTAACATTATGAAACTATTACATGGGCCCTGGATCCCATATCTTTGGGTTTCCTCTTACATGAGAAAAATAGATACCTATCTTGCTTAGGCCACTGTGGTTAGGTTTCTTTTACATGTGGTCAGATCAGGGAAGGGAAACACATATACTGTGTGCTGTTTCTTTGTCATGGTGTGTGGAGTGCTTCATGTGTTCCTGATGTAATTTTACAAATAGCACCACCTCTAATTTTTCTTTCTTTTTTTTTTGAGATGGAGTCTTACTCTGTTGCCCAGGCTAGAGTGCAGTGGCGCGATCTCAGCTCACTGCAACCTCTGCCTCCTGGGTTGAAACAATTGTTCTGCCTCAGCCTCCCAAGTAGCTGGGATTACAGGCAAGCACCACCACACCCAGCTAATTTTTGTATTTTTAGTAGAGATGGGGTTTCACCATGTTGGCCAGGCTGGTCTCAAACTCCTGACCTCATGTGATCTGCCTGCCTCAGCCTCCCAAAGTGCTGGGATTATAGGCGTGAGCCACCACGCTTGACCCTAAATATTTTTTTTTTAATAAAACAATACCAGGAATTTAGTACATATCCTAAATGCGTACACTCTTTTGTTGTTGTTGCCTTTATTGATAAAATGTTTTGGTGACATTCAGGGGGATGGAAACAGTAAATACCTTTAGATAGTAAATTGGCTCCAAACACAATGAATACAGCAGCCATTTAAACACCCTTGAGGAACAAGCCGATTGTGTTGTAATATATCAAACATTTCAGTGTTTTAATGTGTTTATACCTTTTAAATTAACTGAAAATGCACAGCTAGCCAGTTGTCTCCTATTATGTACACTGAGCTTTAACCAGCTGCTGAAACAATTTCTGATGATTTAATGTTCTTGGAACTCCATCCTACAAGAAGGTTTGTCTTGGTAACGGTTTCCATGTGAAACCAAACTACTCTTTGAATGTTTCATTTCCTCTAACTGTAGTGCAGTATTATGGATCAATGTATAATTTGAGAGGAAACAGGAATATATGCAAACCAGGAATGCTCTCACACCTGAACATCATCAGAACTGCTATAAACGTTTCACATTTCACATTGGTAATTCATCCTGTGCTGCATTAGCAGGTGAATAACAAGATGAAACTAATTTTAATGGCCACTGAGGGTAATTCAAAACTAGCGTAAATGTTTCTTATGAGACTTTTAAAATCATTCTGTTTATATTGAGAGCAAAGGGGTTGCCATACATATGTATATGTATGCTATATATTTATTTAGAGATCTGTAAACTAAAATGTAAATGATACCTCATTATAAAGAGAATAGGATCAGTGGCAGTAGTTGAAATAAACTCCCGGAAGTTCATTACAGTGATCTTTGTAGGAGTTCATTTGTAATGAAGATTGACTTTTAAGTAGTTACTGGCTACTGTTTCTCAGACACTTTGGATTTCTTGATAAAATATTAATTCACGGAGGTACTAATCTTCATTAAAATTGTTCATCTTTCAGGAATGCTTAACTCCATAGCTCTCAGCATTTATATATTTAAAATAAAGATTAAGTTCTGCATGGACTTGACATTTTTCAGTGTATTTTGGATCGATCCCACTAGAATTTAAATAAATCTGTCAAAAGCAAAACCTTGCCTTTGATTTTTATGCCTTCCCTGTGTCTCAGTGAAGTAAACAGGAAAGTAATAAAGATAAAGGTGTTTTCTTCAAGACACTAATATGGAGTGTTCTAACAGAAAGAATGTGGGTAGGTAAGCCAGAGGTAAAAGCCCAGCGCTTGGAATTTATGACACTGTCTGGGTTCTCGTGATGTTACTATAAGGGCTGAATGAGACTTGTGGGAACCAACCGAGTGGTGGAGTCGGGCGGGGCCGTAGCCGCAGAAGCAGTGATGCTGTATAGACCCATCCTTGTATTTTCGGGGCTACTTGTGATGCCGTTTTGTTAATAAATGGAAGTTATTTTGAGGACTCAAATTAGATTTTTTTCCCCTTGTCTTTGTATCTGTTTTTGTTACTGTCATTTTTCAGCAAATCTGTGGCTGTTAGCTGTACATGATGACGTCAGTGTCAAGCACAGGCTCCACCCCTTCTCACTAGTGCCACCACTCTGGGCAGGTCTGCTCAGGGTAGGCGTTTTTCTATTGGCCTCAGACCCAAAATACAGCCTCTTTTCTCTGGGATCCATTTCTGTGGTCTTTCTTATGAACCTGTGAACTCATTGAGGACTGTTTAATTTTTAGCCTGGCCCTGATTTACAGATTTGTCAATTATAATTTAATCTAAGAAAACATTTTTAGTTTTTTTCGTAAGGTATAGATTGATAAAGATGAGATTTTCATAATTAATTGCTTTCACTGCCTTTTTCAGGGAGTGTGTATCTATTTGTGTACTGTGACTTGTCGGGTACAGGGGATTATCGGATGTCATCCGCTAACCCTCGCTGGTGGTCCTGCTGATGTGGAGCATGCCAGTCCATGCTGTGTCTAGGGCCTTGCCTTCTTTCATTCTGCAGTCTATCTGCCTTTAGATATTTGCATGGCTCACATTCTGACCTCCTTCAAGCTTTCATCTGCTTCAAGTTTTGTTTCTTTAGAAATGGCCACCTTGACTACCCTATGGAGTACCTTTGACCACCTACCTGAAAATAGCTCCCCTCTCATTCTCTGTCCTTTTTTCATGTGTTATTTATTT